TCAGGCCTTGCTGGACACAGTCAACACCAGCCGTGGATTTGTCAGAGGCCACTGCTGCCTGAAACAGCAATGCAGGGCTCTGTGCCTAATAAGCCCCTCATTGTGGTGACTTCTGCCTCTTGCCTAGCACTGATGTTTCTAGTGCCCCGAGCACACCTGTGGCGGCCCCCGACTATTTGTGACCTTAACCATCCTCGGCCCCCTTTTCCTTGATTGTCTCTAGTCTTCGAATACACTAACAACACCGCTAGGACATAATCCGCGTGTATACCAAGATTCAGGTTGTAACTATTTTCCGTACTATTTAAAATCTTGTGTTATTGTTCATTTTGCGATTTCACATTTATTAACTGGAAGCTTAGATCATAGTGGAACAACTCGAACCACACACCTACCACCTAGACCCTACAATAATGACAGCACACTTCCGCAGCATCTACGACGCTCTCTCCTCCCTCACCCTTCTGTGTCCAATAGCCAACCTGCGTCAGGGCCACCGGAGATGAACTCGGGCACAGTGGCTGGCAAAACTAAACAGTCCGTCTGCGCGTACATAACACGAGCTGGACCAACATACATGTACAGAACAATAAAGGACGATTGGGATCCAACTTCAGTGGAGGTGTCATAGAGAACATATTCAGAAGTCATTGCAACCAGAGTCCGCCTTGAGATGACTGAGACACTTAGTCCGTTAGCAGCCCTTCAAAACACGGCTTTTAGTGTTTTTACTGTTATACTTACTTTAGTGACGAATGAGTTGATGGATGGCTCAGAGTCGACCTAATTAACTGTTCCCTCTCTCACGCACCAGTCTACTCTTCGAGCTGGTTAGTCATCTGGAATTCAGATTGACCACAACGACTGACTTAACGTGAAACCCACCGCCCCCTTTGTGCGGCGGACTCTGCGCATTCAAGTTAGTGTGTGCCGTGTCTCAGTCTGGCTCCTGTTTTATTCCAGCGTCTAGACAACACAGCCCGGTCCGTGGGAGATGCTCATACAGACACGTTCTCTCTAAAATTGTCTCGCCCGCATCTGACCCAGGTCACGCGTGCCCCTCAAATCGGCATTTGCTCAGGTTAGCTCGTTGTAGTCAACTATGCAAACCCAGCGTCCCCTCACAGTTTGGCTGGTCTAGTGAGCTGCAACACAAACCAAAAGGGTTATTAGGCCTGTCTTTTCAGGTTGATTGGAAAGGTTCGCATGAGCAAAGAAAAGGAAACAGTCAGCTGGAGCAAGGAAAGTTTGGATCAGTGCACACCTTTTGAGACTTCAAAACGTCTAGTCTCACTGAAATACGAAAGTAGATGAAAAACAAATAGAAGTTCGAATCTAAAGTACGAAAAATATGCTTCATTTTGGCAAGGACTGCTTCTTCTGTCCAACGTTCTGATCGGTCGCTGCAGAAACCCCCGCTTCCAAAGGTGTCACCTCGAGGACCGTAATTGGATCATCTGGAGACGGAGATTGAACGGTCACTACGACCCCTTCACCGTTGGTATCCTCCACAAAGAAGAGTATTAGAAGTTGGCAGGCTGTGAGAGTCGCGTACACAGCCAGCGGAAGGCCATGCAGAACAGTTGTGTCCAGACGATTAATTAGCGGGAACGAGAGTGCTCCAATTCGACTCAACCCAGCCGCGATCCCGAAGCCACGGTTTCGGTACAGCGGCTGAAACAACTCCGGTACATAGACAAAGATCATTCTTTGCGCGGCGGAAAAAAAGAAGATGGAGATGTTCGTGAGGATGTTGAGGAGGTGATCGCTCTTTGGCTGCAACAGAAGTGTGTGCACAGCAGCGGCGCAGAGGAAGAGGACTGTGATGAAAAACACTGCGGCCAGGGGTTTCTTGCGGTAGCGAAAAAATCGATAGAGGGCAGCAGCAAGCAGAGCACCCGGGATGTTTGCTAGAGCGTTGATAATGACGACCATGGAGACGTGCTGCCTGATATGACTAGCGTAGAAAGTTATGCCAAACATGGTGGTAATCTGACAGGTCAGGAGAGCGGTGGTGAGGATGGTGGTTCCTCGAAGGCCTCGGTGAAAGAGGTGAAGGATCGAGAAGTCGGTTTTCCCTCCTGGTTCTTCTCCAGATGGAGTTAAACGCGAGGCAGCATCGTTAGAAGGAGCGCTGATGCCCAGTCTGTCCAGAAACTCTTCTTTTTTCATGACAGGCTCCGGTTTGGAACCCAGACAACAGGCGTTTCGGAATCTACGGTTCCATTGGTAGGCAGAGTATAGAACTTCACCAACAGGGCGATACGACTTCTGTGCTGCTAGCCACTTTGGCGATTCAGGTAAACAAAGGGGACTGAACAGAACCAGAGCGTTGGGCGCCAGGCTTACGGCATATAGCACACGCCAGTTAGTGAAATAACGGGCTGAGACTCCCAGCAGCACGCGTTGTATGCTCAACTGAAGAATAGTACCAATTGCTGACAAGATTGATCGATACTTGGCGGTGGTAATTTCAGTCAGAAGCACAATAAAGGCCGAAGTTCGAGTCGTGAAGAAGGTGGAGACCAGAAAACGCAGAATGATGTAAGTTAAGTGATTTGGGCAGAAGCAGATAGCCACATTAAGGGCAATCTCGATCAGACCAGAATAGAGCATAGTTCGCCTTCGTCCAATCCGATCACTGAGCCAGCCCCCACAAATGTAGCCCATCAGCATGCCAGCCATATATGCACTCTCGTTAAGAGGCACTTGCCAAGCCTTATCACAAACCAGATCCCACTCCTGCACGATACCGCCCTGGTATTGAAAAGATGTGTACTTGTAGACGTACCCATATGGACAAGGTGTCCCCGCTTTGCCGCTATGGGAGGCGTTTTCGTAGAGTTCTAGCAGAGTGTGGTGTGTGTCATTTTCCAGCCGTTCGAAGGAGTATAATTCACAGCCGCCGATTAGGGCTCTGTTTTCCGCCAGTGGTCCCAAAACCCTGGCAACATCCTCAAACTGCTGTAGCTCTGTGCTCCTGTTCCCACGCAGCTTGCTGGCATTCCGGAACCATTTCTCTAGCTCTGGTTCTGCACGACAACGATGATGTGGAAACGAATTAAAAAATACTGGCAGTAGGAAAATAGATGGGAAGGAAAGCGCCGTAAAGACCACAATACCGATTTGCCAGATTCCCAGAGGATGGACAATTTCGTCGAAGGCACGGTCAACC